AGTAGTGAAACGGTAAAGTAATTATCATCTGTAATGGAAGTAGACGGTAGTAGACTGATTCTGATTGAAGGTGGGTATTATTAGTATTTCTCTATGTTAGTTAACATGAAACGTGCTACGTTTCTACCAGATCTATCACTGTGGATCAGGAAGAAAAACTTACCACATTGCCTGTTGAAGCTCAGTAATGTCACCCTGAAGAGCGTGTTGATGTAAGATTGTCAAAGCCGTATTGGGTAAGTCTCCTGCCCAGTCCGAGGCTGGGCCCTGTAAGTAAAGGTACCGTACGTTAGTACGAATCTCTTGGTGTATATCTTTATTTTCATAGACTCATTTATCGCGATTTGGACGTCTAGTTCATCCTACCTTCTTCGTTATGAAATACAAGTTGGACTTACACAGCGAACTCCCTTAATTAAATTACAGTCATTAGTTGATCAAGTTTTATTAACTGATAATTCCTGTCAGCTGATACACTTTAGCATGAAAAGTCAAAGTTAAAACACACACAATGGCAGTGTTGAATCCAGACCTTTCTACCGAAGGGGGGGGGGGTGATGTGAAGCTGGGAGGGATTTAAGAATATTGTACTTCAGGGGGGCTTGCACAGGGGCAATTTTCCCTTACACCCCCGCAATTCAACACTGCACAATGGTGTAAAAAGGAGTCACCAGGTGGATTTTATATTAGTTAATATAGTACTTCAAAAACAAGGGATTGGTACAATCAGCGCTCCTTTTAAAGAAACGCATAACAATCCTTGCTTCTCCATACACAAGAATTACTGTTTCATTTGTAGATTTATCGTTGTTCCAATATTCAACATCATCGTGAAAAAATACATAAGCGCTACCTGGTGATTTTTTAGCTCATAATCGATGAAAAGGGAGAACAGTTCTTGATGTTCTACCACTTCCTTCCAGTTGTCCTCCGCTGCTGCTAGACCACGATCCTCACGGGTCCCTAAGGTCAACTTGAGATGAATCTGACCTTGAACAGTCGACCTCAGACTTCTCCCTTGGAGAGGAAACCACTGGTCAATTCCGTAGGACGGAATGTCCTAAAGGATGACAGTAAAATAGGATACTAGGAGGTTCACGTGCTTGCGTTTTCGGAAACTTTGCATAAATATGAAAGTAAATGCTTATATCATGGAAGGTAAAAACTGTTTAAAAAATGTGTTTTCTGTACTAAAATATAAACAAAGACAGGCACTGTTGTGCTAATCAATTAATGTAGTAGAAGAAAGTAAAACTAACCTCAACAGAAACACTAACACAACCAAGGAAGTCGTCAACGTTATCACCACCACTGGATCGGGCAGACTGTGCGATTTGTTTGAAATATCTAAAACAGATAAATACATATTTTATTATAAAATTGTCAACCAAATGATGTATCAGAACAAAACGAAATGAGGGAGAACATGAGACCTGTGAATAAGAAATCTTACTGAAAATACAACTGTATTTGATACATCTGCTTAAACAGGTTCTTTAAACCGGAACTTTAATAAACAACATTTTGTAAGTTTACCTGCTTTAATGAACAACATTTTGTAAATTTACCTGCTTTAATGAACAACATTTTGTAAGTTTACCTGCTTTAATGAACAACATTTTGTAAGTTTACCTGCTATGTTTTTAAGCCAGGAACTTTAATTAACAACATTTTGTAAGTTTACCTGCTATGTTTTTTAAGCCAGGAACTTTAATGAACAACAGTTTGTAAGTTTACCTGCTATGTTTTTTAATCCAGAAACTTTAATGAACAACATTTTGTAAGTTTACCTACTATGTTTTTTAAGCCAGGAACTTTAATGAACAACAGTTTGTAAGTTTACCTGCTATGTCTTTTAATCCAGAAACTTTAATGAACAACATTTTGTAAGATTACCTGCTATGTTTTTTAATCCAGAAACTTTAATGAACAACATTTTGTAAGATTACCTGCTAAGTCCTTTTAACCCAGAAACTTCGTTCAGTTTTCTTGCTGCATCAAAAACTGAAGATTCGTCATCATGATCCCTGGAATGTAAGAAATGACACAATGCAGGAGACAAAGAAACTGGTCAGTAATTCTGTATTCTACAGTAAAGCCATATCTATTGTTGCTTACAAACAATAATTACGATCTCCTGTGACAGCACATCAAGAAACCGATAGGTAAACA